TCTTCTATTGCCACGTTAGTATTTATGTCATCCCAATTGCGTGGATCGATGCTCATGATTTCAATCACTGGAATGTCTGGTCCAGACTCGATTATTTACAGACCACCGTCATATAGCTGGAATATTGCTGAGTGCAGCGTTAAACAACAAACAAACAAATAGTATTTATGCCCAAACGTTATAACAGTGTCGGTTGAATTTTCCCATCGAATGATGATTTATTTGGCAACACATTATATTTAATACCAGCATGTTTAATGACATAGAAAGTAACCAACAGGCGCCAGAGAATATATTTCTGTATAAAAACGCAATACCTACTTGCGAAAAAAGTAACTGTATTTCATATTAATCAAACGAAATTTGGGGAATCAGACGAGTTTCACTATCTTTTTATCTGTGAAGCTCTTCTCCAACAACGACTTCTTTATACCCCACGGAGTTTTAATGGCCAAATATGTGTAACTTGCTTAAAACATTATCAACCTAAAAATATATCCACTTTGAAACATCTGTCCAGATTCATTGTACATTTGAACACATTATTACGTTAAAGTGTCTAAATCACTTATTAAAGAATGTTACCATCTTGATCTTCATTAAATACAAACCTATAGAGAAGTATCAACTCAATTAACAAAGGCAATATCGGGTGTGACCATCCTAAATGTAACAACCGGATATGGTCATATTGTTGACGTGACGTCACACGTGGACGACCGGCACGTGGCAAGTCATTAGAGTTGCCCTGATGAAGATAACGTCCCCAAATAGAAAAATATTGTGTTTCGATAAACTTGGAAATGTCTGGCAACTTTGTTTTGCGCCATTCCTGTTTGCAGCGCGTAGACGTTGATTTTCTACAAGCCGTGGCATTGCGGAAGTTTTATTTACGTTTCTCTCAATTCATTTTGTTTCTCACCATTCTTTAAAACACTATTATGTTTGTTTTGTCACGTTTTTTTGTTCGTCCCTATTTAAAACAGTGATTTTTTAAACATCAATTTTACGTTGTAGAAGAATGACAGAGTTTGCAAATATTGCAGCAGCATCCGCAAAAATAAATATTGATAAATCTTGAAAAGTTTCATCAATGAATCTACCTTGAATCATTGGATAACATTTCCCTTTCGAGTTCTTCACTGTATAAGGGTAAAGAGACAAGCGATAAAATGGAATAACACATTCATTTCAAAGACGTGTGTAATTTGAATTTCTGAAGGTAAGATGGATATACTATATGGAACACACACACACACACACACAGATATACATATACATATAATTATCACAAGACTTATCTAAGACAATTATTCATTTCTGAAGTCCCCAAACTGTGTCAATTATAAGAATCACGTCATCGGCAAACAGAAGAAACAATAAGGTAATATCTAGACGAAGTTGTATTCCAGGTTCGTGTGATTTTCCTATTTCTTTCGCTTAATCATTAATATAAAATCCAAACAATAAAGGGCTTTTAACGAACCCTAGACGGACTCCGATGTGACATTAAGAGGTCTCAGACCGGTGGTCATCAAACCTTACACAAGATGTAACACTATCATAAATATCTTTAATGCAGTTATACATATTCGGTGAAACAGCATGATCATATATAACTGTCCAAAGCATAAATCTGTTCACAGAGTTGTATGCCTTGGCAAAAGCCACAAATAGAACATGTATTTTGCGAAACTCCTCTCCTAGATATCGTTGTATAACTGACTGTGAAATATACAAATTGTTAGCTGTTGAATAGCAACGACGGAAACCGGCCTAGGGTTCAACAATGTTATCAAAGCATTCACCCCAGAACTGTAATCTTGTATTCAAAATTGACACATATATTTTGCTAAACACGCTTAAAAGTGTACGTTTATATTTACCCATGGAGCTATAAAGGGACAATAATCCCAAAGAGTTGGAAAATAAGCTTAAAAACGAATGTAATACACGTATAAGGTCTTCATTTCACAGATAAGCTCATTACCAGGTCATTCACTATTTCGCTAAATGAAGGCCTCTCGGACCTCCTTTTGTTCAATGGGCGAATTCAATATAGATTTGGTCAGCTCATTAACATTTCTATTTGATTCTGGATCAACAATCTCTCAAGCATGTAGAGAATCCGTGTCGAACATGCATTTAAAATGTAAAACCACTGGTTCGCTGTAATGTTTGGTTTGGCGCTATGGTTATTTCTGGTAAGACATTTAAGAGACAACCAAGTTCCTGTTTCAAACTGTTGACATAATGGAAATAATTCAGACGAAGTAATGACATAGTCTATTACACTAGTTCCAATCTAACTTTGGGACCAGTTTAAAAGTTCGATGTCGGATAAAAATCTTAATTCCTTAAGTTAAGGGGCAGGGGTTAATGGCTCTTCGAGTTCTCATCGGACAACGTCAGCAAAACTGATTTTCAATGTTTTATATAGTTACTAAACTATACCGATCCTATTTTCATTATGATGTTGTCTTCTAGATACATCCAGTCTTTCAACAACGTCGGGTTTCATTGCAGCCGGCAACAGTGGTAAGTCCATCTAGTGCAGTGCGTACTATGGAATGGTAGATTTGATCCATTGCGTCCTTTGGAGTTGCAGATTTGCTCTATTGCGTACTATGTAATAGCAGACTTTATCCACACAAAAGATTTTAAACACCTAGTAAATAAACTGCAGTCGATAGACGTTCTGACAAAAACCGGGCAAAACACAAGAATATTTATGCATGACAAAAGTCTTGTCACTGGGACAATTGATCATATAATAGGGCTGAATACAAAACAGGCCACAAAACTCCGGAATTCAACATCATCAGAATTACGTTTTTTTATCAGACATCGAACTTTTGAATTGGTCCCTACTAAAGCTTCTTCGTAACACGTTGTATACATACACGAATATATAATTGTACATGTATAAATTATACAAATAATAACCTGTTAGTTCATATGTATTGTAATTTGGTATTTGGTAGTTTTAAAAACAGATTTTCATTATTCATTTATTTACAGAATTAAGATTGTTTTCCAAGAGTACTTTACTTTTAACTATTAAACAGAATAGACATTTAATAAACACTCTTTTCTATCAAAATATTTGAAACAGTATTTGTTGTTTTTTGTATCTATTTGTGGTATTTGTGTTTTTTGGGGTATATTTATTTAAGGGTCTTCACATTAATGTACATTTTGAGCACTTTATGAAGTAATTCATTAACTGCATTCTGTTGCTTTCTATTTCTGGTTTTTAAACTGTGTCATTTGTTTTTCAACGATGATAATTTGAAAATGTTCACTTAGGAATTTACTTGTGATAATTGATGCTTTGTCAAGTGAACATATTCAACACAATTTCTTGTAGAAATATCAGTAAAACCACGATAAAATACAATACACATACAATACGAATACAATATATATACAATACATATACAATACATATTCAATACATATACAATGCAAATGCAATACACATACAATACACATACAATACATGTACAATACATGTACAATACATGTACAATACATGTACAATACACATACAATACATGTACAATACATGTACAATACATGTACAATACACATACAATACACATACAATACATGTACAATACATGTACAATACATGTACAATACATGTACAATACACATACAATACATGTACAATACATGTACAATACATGTACAAAACACATACAATACACATACAATACATGTACAATACACATACAATACATGTACAATACATGTACAATACACATACAATACATGTACAATACATGTACAATACACATACAATACATGTACAATACACATACAATACATGTACAATACATGTACAATACACATACAATACATGTACAATACATGTACAATACACATACAATACATGTACAATACACATACAATACATGTACAATACATGTACAATACATGTACAATACATGTACAATACATGTACAATACATGTACAATACATGTACAATACACATACAATACATGTACAATACATGTACAATACACATACAATACATGTACAATACACATACAATACATGTACAATACATGTACAATACACATACAATACATGTACAATACACATACAATACATGTACAATACATGTACAAAACACATACAATACACATACAATACATGTACAATACATGTACAATACATGTACAATACACATACAATACATGTACAATACATGTACAATACATGTACAATACATGTACAAAACGTATATACATACAATGCGAGACAAAAGCACAAAATGACACCTCAAAATGTATCATGTAATTATTACTGTCCAAAACACTGAAATCCATGGGAACAATGATATTAAATATGAGTTCAGAGCGCCAGAAAGTGTCGTCTTTATGTATTTTTCAAATCAGCAATGGGGCGTAAAGGTAACTCAGTATCTCGGATTTCTATGTAGGTGATCGATCTGTACAAGTAATACATGCTCGATTAAGATTAGCTTGTTCAGATCTTAACGGTGGTGGATATCAAAGGTACATCTCCCACCAATCTGCCGTGTCACTTTGTCTTTATTTATATGCAGCATAACCTCTAAACAACTGATATCGTTTTTATTTAATTTATTTTATTTTAAAATTAGTAAATGCGCTATCGTGTTACTGGGTTTTCTAGTCAATCATTGATTGTTTACTGGCTATCACGGCATGGCAGAAATACTGCTGTGTGCGGCAGACAACAAACAAACACTTATTTTTATGCAAATTGTGTGAGTGGCAGGTGATACCATTAGGGCAGGACATGCGTACCCGTTTCTTGACCACCAGGTGAAATCACTGATTTTAAGTGATCCATTCACATTAGTTTTCATCGCTAACTTGCCTTAACGCGCAATGGAATCTGTTTCGGGGGGGGGGGGGGGGGGGGGGGGGGGGTAATTGAGTTATTCTCTGGCGTGGGTGTTTTATATATATGTGGGAGCTACTGAAGACAGTATTATTATTCATGAACACGGACCAATCACATGTAAGCAGTAGTCATGAGCATCATATATATATGTGTGGCCTAAATACAACCACAGCGCTTCTGGGATTGTTGGAAAGGTCGTTTCACTTGGACACTGGTGTAACATCTCAACTTATAATAAGAGGACATATTATGGTAGGCAATATTGCAACTCATTTTTCTTGACCCAGTCTGTGTGTCTCCTTGCAATCTTATTCACCTCAACGCTTGGTATCCCATTTCATTGCAATGTATGCTACGCTAGTCTTTCACAATCTTACAAAATACCCATGCTGCACGTGTTATAATTTGTGTCCTTTGTTTCAACCCATAAGATATTCATAATTTTGATTAATCGCTTCTAGCTTTAATTCCACATCCGCCTCCGTGGTATTGTGGACAGAGAATCTGCCAGAGAGCAGAAGGTCGGTGGTTCGATCTCCGACCGTGTCATACCAAAAGACGTAGAAAGATACTTACCCTGCCCGGCGCTCGGCTTCAATACGCTGATCCCTTTGTCACCTCACACACCCAGCACAACCCCCACCCCCACCCCCACCCCCACCCCCACCCCCACCCCCACACTCACCCCACCCCACCGCACCTCACTGCTGAATCGATATCCTGCAGAATCTGTGTGCAGCATAATATTCAAAGGCAATAAACTCGAATTTTTGGGGTTTTGCAATTACACATTGCAACATGTTGTCAGTGTAATATTACTAGTAAACATTCACATATGGTAATTTCATCTCATTATCACTGTTAAACTGTAGAAGCGGAAATAGCAACAGTCAGCGATTCAAACAGCTCGGTTTAGTTCGACTATATCAATAGATATTTGGAAATTATCAATCTAAATAACATTGTATCATGCTGTTATGTAAAGCGGTATGAGTAAATCAAATTTAAATTCAGTTACAATCGTTCAAGCGGAAATTAATACAATCTAATAAAGTTGATAGAATGTCCCCTAAGGTTGACTGGTTTTGGCATGTTTTGCACTTATTGTTGTCACCTACATGTATTCCTTTGTCATCTTATCCAGGTTTGCATGACTTTGACAAGCTGATCGTGGTATTCGGTAACATTCAGGCTTGCATATTCGTTCAAGTCACAGTTAACATATTTCAGCTGCATCATGACGACCTGTAAATCGAATCTGGGTCCATGTTTGTACAAACACGGACACAGGCGTGACGATGCAACGAAAAACAAATTTATGAAACAGAATAAAATCTAGACTTGCTTGAGTTCTCCTGGTTGGCTAGCGGCATTTGTAGTTTGCCATTTGTACTAGTTTAATCCGTACACTATGGGCTGTACGGAGGTGCTTATCTATAAGTATAACTAGTGACAAAAAGGAGCCCATTAACAGTCTATAATCAAATGAGACGCCATCGTGTTAAATATAGGCCATACTAAGAGAACCAGACTGAAACCGTGCAAATACATGTACACACGAATGTGTCTTTGAAAGACATGCAAATGGTAAGTAAAATATTGTTTTGAAAAGTTAACACCAATTCATTCCTTGTGTCTGCTGGTGGACTGAAATCCCCGTGTTTCGTACAAAGCTCTCTCGCATTTATCAATTATGCTGTGTCAGAAATGTCGTGGCCGGGACATTGTTTTTGGCATGCTTGTGCATATATTGTTGTCACCTATACTTTATTTATTATCTTATCCAGGTTCGCATATCTTTGACAAGCTAATCCTGGTATTGTGTGTTGTTGCATGCTGTTTTACGCCAGTCAAAAAATATTCCAGCTTCATCATGGCGACCTATAAATGGAACCTGGGCCAGACAAACCAGTGGTTGATATCACGATCAATGTCCCACATCCTAACACAAAGCCCCACCACGAGATCTATTTCAATCGCTTCCTACGAAAAGCAATAACCCTGGTCCCCAAGAAGTACTTCAATATTCATCAAAAATATCTATATTTCCCTTGATATTGAAATATCTTTGAAATATAACAAAACATACTCTTGGCTGTTTTCTTAGTTCAGGGCGGGAAAGTATACGGGAAACGTTAATTTTGTAGTATGTATGTCGACATGTTGGTTTATTTGAAATTACAAGCCACGCATTTACGGAAACAAAACATACAAATCATGTGCGTCGAATGTTGATAATATTCTTTTCCAGCAATAAGAGATACTTCAAAATCGTCTTTATCTAGTTAATTGATGCATCTGACCGTTTCTGGTCATTAGCTGACATTATTAAACCATTCATGTGTAATCCGATGACTTTGTCCTTTTTTCCTCAAGGACTAATTTTCTGATTTTCAGGGTGAATACAAAAGAAGATTTGTACTCCGGAGATCGTAAATAACAGCATATTATAAAATATGTTTTGAATATGCTTATTCATGAACAACGACGACATCTCAATTTAAATGTAATATGCCTGAATTCCACATTCTACATACCACACTTTTGATTGTTTGGATGCTCATGTTCACTGGAAATATTTTGAATAGTTATATTCCGTATTTTGAATTAACCCAGTCCCCCGTAGGTTTTTTAATCAGTGCACCGCACATAGCCACATGTGAAACGTTTGGTAGCAAAGTCAAAGCAAAATCGGAGTAGTGTGTCGGCGAATTTGCATCAAGGCTGTAGTATTTTTCAACCGTTTAATGGAATTCAATGTACAGCCGTAGCTCTGGTCACTCATATATTATGTGTCCCATGGCTCAAATCTATTTGCGTCTGTACCGTGTTCCACTGACACCGATAATCTGTTGGATGAAGGCACAGCTCTCTACAGTCACATAGTTAACACTGAAGGCTATGAGGGATATTTAGGTCATAATCAGCTCCCAGCAGCCACTGCCTCAAGCGATATTGTCTACATAACAGATCAGTTTTATGGCTCCGTCACAGGTGCTCCAAATATTGAAGCAGGGAAAACAAATTTCATAGAATCATTTCAACAAGCCAAATTGATATCCCCGTCACTTTTGGTAACTTTTAATGATGTCTCCATTGCGATTTTTACGGATTTTGATTCGTATGCATTATTTGACTCTCATCAGCGGAATGGTTTGGGTAAGATTGATCCGAATGGACAAGCGGTTTTACTTCTGTTTAGTAGTATAGATGAATTGTTATGTTACATCTTAACAGTATATAAGGCGACTATGCTTGTTGTAAGAGGCGACAAACGGGATCGGGTGGTCAGGCTTTGGTTGATGCATGGCATCGATCCCAATTGCGTGGATCGATGCTCATGATATTAAGCACTGGATTGTCTGGTCAAGATTCGATTATTATCGATTACAGACCGCCGTCATATAGCAGGAATATTGCTGAGTGCGGCGTTAAACGCCAAACCAATTAATCATCATCATATGAACTCAAACCAGTCATTGTTACAAGTAAACCACATTCCACAACAGTTACTGACACTGGATAAAAAAAAAAAACAGTACAAAGAAAAAGACCAAGTAACATAACTTATCATGATCACAATTACTCTTCTTTGAAAGAAAGAAATACAAAAAAGAAACTGACCAAAAGACGTAAAACAAGAGACGAGGAATCTCCGTTATTGATTAGTCCCCGTATTGAAATGTTCTCCAACTACGTGATAATATTTTGAGTATGTGCATCTGTGGTTGTGACAAAAAAAACTTATCTAGTTTGACTTTTTTTCCATATGGAGCCCTGAGTATTTTCGATTACATTATTATAACCAAATGCAAAGTGTAAAAAGAATGTGATCTATTATTTGAGTATGTGCATCTGCCAATGTTGTTGGCAGTTTTGATACTATTTCCACATGTTTACATTTGTGCCAGAAATTGCTTCCATTTCCTTCTATCTACTTTTTAAAAAAAGACCCAGGTTAGAATAGGTCTTCAGCAACTCAGCTTGCCGTAAATTAAGAGGCGACGAACAGGATTGGGTAGTCAGGCTCGCCGACTTGGTCGATGCATAACATCATATTCCAATTGCGTAGTTCGATGCTCTTGGTGTCAATCACTGGATGATCTGGTCCAGACTGGATTATTTACAGACCGCCGTCATATGGCTGGAATACTGCTGAGTGCGGCGTTAAACAAGAAACTATTTTTAAATAGACCTACCCTAACAGCGTTATGTTATTTGTGGTTAATATAATTATGCTCCTTCATGCCTTTCAGTAACATCATAATTATGCGTTTGTGAGGCATCATATATGGCGGGGAACTTTGATGCTCTGCATCAATGTTTTCTTGTACTCATAGGAAAAATGAAGAGGTAAAATCAGGCAATATGATACCACCTGACATATCACTGCATAGCTGGGCCACGGAGAGCACCAGTGCCTGTCAGCTAGTGGTCTAAATTTATGCAGATGGTCAGCACAAATTAAGAGGCTCAGTGAGTTGGGTTTGCTCTTTTCAAACAAAGTAAGGATACTGGTAGTTATTGGATATATTCACAATGTGAATGACACATATGAAAAGTTAAAATGTATATTAACAGTACACTCATAATATTTATAAGTTCTATTCTTCAATAAGTTTTTTCAATATATGTTTTCATATTATTGGCATATTTTTTCACAACCTTTACAATAAATGCAGGGGTAGAAGACGCCGGTATTCATTTAGTCACATATGTGTTGAACATGCTACTTCTAGCTTAAATATTCAAACTTTCTTAAACAATTTTATGTTAACCTCCAGCCTACAAGATAGTTCTGAAAGTGAAACACTCTTAGTGCCTTCTCTGATATTTTACAAACCGTCAACAAATTATCAACAAAGCCTTGCAAACATGAATCAAATGTACAAAAAAACAAAACAATGGTATTATGAGGCAAAACGTAATATGCAGGAAAAATATCATGAGTTCAATAAGAATAATAAAAGGGCTCTTTTTGCAACAAAAAAAAGAATACAAAAGTTACTCAGAAGACAACATCGTGTATATAAACAAACTCAACTGAAACAACTGGAAACCGGTAGATATCCGAGAAACCAAATGGATCAACAGTACATACCAGCAATGGCAGATCGTATAGTTAAATATCGTGAGAACATTATTTACTCAATGTAATATTACAGTCTTGAACCCAGACAAAACTTTACTATTGATTCACCATGAATCTCAATCGCCTCTCCCCACACTCTGATCCTCCAGGACCATCATGTTCAGAGTTGCAAAGCGGTCAAATGACCTAGATACTGAGATCGTATCCCGCCAGTCACCAGATTGTTATTCAGCCTTGGGACCAACAATGTTTACAGGTCTTTACAGTGTTGTCACTACCCCTTGTGTGCAGTATGGGTAGATGGTGGAAATATGAATACGTTCATACACACGGAAACACAAGTGTCAAAACGTGTGGTTGTCACCCTGGCCAAGTGACTTCGTTCAAATGTGACTGCATATTCTGCCATTCAGAAGGAAGGAAGAAATTCAGGGTCAAGGGAACATGGATCACTGAGAGGTTGAGCAGAGAAAAGAGGCAAAGAAAACATTTCCCATAAGGATTCGAAGGAAAATGATGAAGACAAATTGAGACCAATGAAACTCACAGAGACCCATGTTATAGAATTTATTGCCATGAATTATCCCACAGCAGAAGAAGATGATGACACTCACTGATGTGTTAGATATATATTGATCACGTGCAACTAACTGAGTTCCAAATCTTTTGGTGAGAACCTCACAGGAGAGCTTGAGAAACACAAGACATACAAGGACTAGCTGTATTTCTGTATGTTGAACAGCAATGGAAAGTTCTAAACGTGTATTGTACACTCTTCAGAAAAATAGGTCAGCAATGCTGTTAGACATGCATATGAACTCGCTTCTTCAGATGGAAAATATTCTCTTTATTTTCATGTATAGGCTTGCTAAACTTTCAGAAAATAGTTTTATAATGGGAAAAAAACATCAACCTGGTCTTGGCAAGAGGTTTATCGTGTACATGGTTAGACGTTTAGTCAATCTGTGAAGCCACACTGTGATTATTATTATTTTCTAGTTAATTAAGTTATATAAGTTCCTAACTTGTTATGGTATATACATATGCTAAAAATGACGTAGATTAAAAAAGAAAATGAGTGGGCACAGTAATTCAGTTATTTCGCATTATTTCAAATGTCCCCACGTTTCACTTACTTTGCGAGAATCATTTGACGTTTAACAAACCACGTGGAAATTCTACTGGGCCAATTTAAAATTAGGTCGTGAAGGATTATTTATCGGAAGGAGAGAAGTAATGATGAAGTGGTTCAATATTGTAATTGATAAGTTTGAGAGATGCAAGGAATTTGAAATTTCAAAAAGAAGGTAACATTTGATTACATTTATCTGGTGTTCAAAGAGTGTCGAACAATCTAAGGGAAATCTTCATTCCTTGACCCATGGGGCATTTGTTCCTAAACGTGGTGACCATAGATATAATTACATCTCTATCCTCGGAGGTTCAGGGCACTTTATAAAAAGAAAGCAAATGCCATCTGAAGTTATTGAGAAAACAATATGAGAAATTCTGGACGTCCCCATTAATAACTTGTACGTGAAAATTTGGCATAAGACTTTCAGGCAAGAAGTAGGCATCCCCATGGGGCACCATGCCCCCCTTCTTTTTGTCTTTTTGATCTGTTTCTTCAATCAAGAATCGGATACTTAATCTTCAGGTATTTCGATGATCTAACTTGTTTAACAATGGTCAAATAGCCAAGTCCTTTCCACTGATTCAGAAATAAAAGTAATGTAATTTTCCTAAAAACAGCGATAGGTCGTGGAAAGTGGGTATTGGGAATATGACTGCCGAGGAACAGGTACCAAAAAACACCTCACCCGAACGCGCCACCTTTGACGGCGCTCGTGCGGTGACCAAAAAATGGTGAAACAGGTTTCCCGCCTATGGAATAAACTGCACGCGCATGTTAGCTGTATAAATGCGTTCGTCTGCAGGGTATAACCACACGTGATGAAAGCACACAAAAGAAATGCCACGACTGTCACAGGAGCAGAGAGAGAGAGAGAGATCCATCGGTATGGCCGTAATGGGGGCAACACAGGTCCAAATTGCCAAAAGGTTTGGTTGTACACCATTGACAGTAGCCAGGCTGATTCAACGGTACAGGCAGGCAGGGAGGACACAGGACAGGCCTTGAACCGGACGACCGAGTGACAACACCACTGGAAGACGGTCAGATACGGCTCATTCACCTGCGAAACAGATTCGTAACGGCGACGGCGACGGCTACGGCGACGGCAGCAACAGCGTTGGGACATCTTATTTGCCATGCGATGGGCGAGGCAGGTTCGATGCTGGCAAGTGAGAAATTGGCGTCGAGTGCTGTTTACTGATGAAAGTCGGTTTAACTTGTTTCGGAATGACGGCAGAGAACGAGTTTATCGACGCAGAGGGGAATGTTTGGATCCGGTGTGTATTCGAAAGGTCCATCCGTTCGGCGGGGGAGGTGTCATGGTGTGGGGCGGTATTTGTGGAGATCAGAAGACTGATTTGGTGATTATACAGGGAAACCTGAACGCTGTGCAGTACAGAGACCAAGTGTTGCAGCCAGTTGTGCTTCCGTTGGTTACAAAACCAACACCAGGGGACATTGTTTCAACACGACAATGCCAGGCCCCGTACTGCAAGACTGACTCGGAACTTTCTAAACAAGCAGAACGTTGACGTTTTGCCCTGGCCTGTCCATTCATCCGATATGAATCCTATTGAACATCTGTGGGACCATCTTGACAGACAGATTAGAGCACGCCATCAGCCTCCCGTCAACAGACAAGAATTGCAGCAGGCCCTGAGACGAGTGGCAACGGATTCCAGTCCACGTCATCAGTAGACTGACGTCATCGACGAGGCGGCGTATCACAGCATGCATTGAGGCAGCTGGAGGTCATACACGCTATTGAAGGCAACTGTGTCGACAATGAACTTGTAGTGTGTCTGACAATGTTTTGGTGACATTTCAGACAACTTTTGAAAATGAAATGTCTTACCCCACCATTGTTTACCTTGAGCTTACATTACATGTGAGTGCACAATTTCATTCAAACTGGTTGATCAATCATTTGTTACCCCTCCCTAGCTTATATTATACAATTCACAACAGAACCTCTTCTTGTTATTTTTTTATCGATCATGGAACTTGACCTATACTTTCTTTCGCCGCCCAGTTTACTTAGACAAAAACAATAATTACCATTACCATATTTTCATGCTGCATCCTCATCATTAGATGTTTCAGAGAACTTTATTATCTGCTGGCCGACTTTTGTCTGGCATGGTCAAACAATCCACGACCCACCGAGCATTTTGCACCACCCCACGGGCGGCCGCCTTCAACCAACCCCTGTCCCCGGATGTACTGCCCCGTCCAGCTGGAATCTGTACGATGATGAGACTCCCGTCACAAGCAACAACAAAGGGTAACCTTGTTTGTTTGTTTCTTTGTTTGTTTGTTGTTTAACGCCGCACTCACCAATAATATCCCAGCTATATGACGACAGACTGTAAATATTCGAGTCTGGACCAGACAATCCAGTGATTGATATCATGAGCATCGTTCTACGCAATTGGGATACGACGACATGCATCAACGAAGTCAGCGAGCCTGACCACCCGATCCCGTTAGACGCCTTTTACGACAAGCATGTGTTGCTGAAGACCAATTCTACCCCGGATCTTCACGGGTCGGTAACACTTGTAGACAGATATATTGAGAGGTGTATCGAACTGGTCCAGACTGACGCATGGTCCCGAAATACGTTGTATCGGAGATTCTTTGTAAGACGGTTTCTGACAATTGCTGAGGACTTCTGTTGTGTCTTGAGGGGCACAGGGGTTGGCTAATGGTTAAGGCGTTCGCTCGTTACGCCGAAGGCCTAGTTTCGATTCCCCACATGGGCACAATGTGTGAAGCCCATTTCTTGTGTCCGCCGCCGCGCTCATGCTGGAATATTGCTAAAAGCGGCGTAAAACCATATTCACTCACTGTTTTATCTTGATCATTGATGCGCTCACCAAAAACATCGGATGCGTAATCATCAAACCTTGGTCGATTCGCATTACAAATGTCAGTCCCGATACAATTAAAACTAGAACTTAGAAAGTGTATGGCTTTATGTCGCTTTTTGCAATATGCCAGCAACAGTACGACGTTCACACATTGTTCCGATATTGGAATCAAATCCGGGGCTTCGGCTTGACCATAGAGCGCTTCAACCATAAGGACATCAACTCCATTTAATATTCATTAGTACTAAACATTGAGACAAATAACTTTTTATTTACATGTTACTATAATAATGCCTCGTAGAACTCAGGATAGAGATAATAGAAACTATTTGCCTATGTTATAAAACACAGCGTTAAAGTTCATATGTAGACAAAATAAATAAAATACTTTCAATGATGAAATTAGTCATAGTTAGTCACACTTTTTGTATCCGATTTGCATTATGAATACTGTTCTCTTAAGCTATGATATGATATGAGTTCTTATGCTAATCAGCTAATATGCTTCTTAAACATTTCGGTCCTTGGTGGTGAGATGAAATGGGGTTTAACGTCTCGTTCAAGATTATTGCTCTTATATAGTGACGTGCATACGTGTGTGTGTGGCTGCTTGTACTAGTCCGGGATGATGCTCACAGAGATACCATGCCGCAGTTTAACATGAATACCCCACTCAGACACAGTATACTGACTCCGAGCCGACCAGTCCTTGTTTTAGCCCCTAAATACCGAGCACCAGGCAGGGTAACAACAAATACCATCTTTTTATGTCTTTTGGTATGACGCGGCCGGGGATCAAAGCCCCTACTAGATCAACGATTCTATATGCTCAGTAAGAGTAGCATGTGTACTTTTTGTCTTTTTTATTGACAGGTTTAGATGTAGGTTTCATCGGTGTCCCCCTTGATATTGGGGTCGGGTACCGCAATGGTACCAGGATGGGTCCGAGAAATGTGAGAGTTGAGTCCGTCTACCTTAAATCACTAAATGCAAGCACAGGTGAGAATAGCAGTGGAACAAAAGATAAGTAATTACGGACCTTTCAAAGTTCAATAATTGATAGTGATTTCCATCCGACAAAAGGAAGTCTCTCTCTCTCTCTCTCTCTCTCTCTCTCGCTCTCTCTCTCTCTCTCTCTCTCTCTCTCTCTCTCTCTCTCTCTCTCTCAAATAATAATAATAATATAAAAAAATAGAATAAAAAAAAAAATGGATGCCAATACTGACAATGACGATGATCATGATGATTATGATGATGATGAAGATGAAGGCGAATGAAAAATTACGGAGCTGCATTATACTGTTTTTCAGGTGCTGCCCCGTTCGAGTCTCTCCATGTAGCAGACGTGGGTGACGTCAGACTTAATCAGTATAATCTGGTTACCGCATGCGAGGAAATCCGCAGATATTACACAAACGTAGAGTGTATCCCGTTGACGATAGGTGGCGATCACACCCTCACCTACCCAATACTCCAGGCATTGAAGGTAAAGCGTGAGTGAGTGAGTGAGTGAGTGAGTGAGAGCCATAACTCTTGCCGAGCTCGTTAAAAATATGTACTAAATCCCAGTTTTAACTCATGTTCCAATAAGGTCATTTGAAGACCACAATTAATAATGTTAGCACAGCTCTGATAATGAAGGTACATGTATGGCATAACGAGAAGTTTAATCAAGTTACGATACGAAAAAACTTATGAGGAATGACGATGGTCATATGTCATTCTTAAAATAATCGCACGTTAAGACATGTTGCTATCCACTATAGTAACTTTAGATACCGCTTAGGAATATAAAGCCTGAGTAATATAATATAATTATGGATTCTTGGTTTTCAACCTGTGCTGGTCGTATGGTGCGACTAAATGGATGGAGTTGTCAGGCTCCGTGGTTTGGTTGATTGCATGTCATCGTATCCTAACGGCGTGGTTCGTTGTTCACAATATTAATCACTGGATTGTCTGGTCCAGATTCGATTATTTACAACCCGCACCGCGTCATATACCTGGAATATCGCTACTCATTTAGGAGACATTATACTGTGTTTCAGCCAGTAGGCATCACATCGGTGTACAGAGATTACTCAAAGAAGACCTCTTTTGCATATTTAACGGATCGTGATTAAAAGTTTATGGGATTGTTTTATCACATTGATAACAAGATATGATCCTTTCGTTTCTTTCTGATAAAGAAAATGTATTATTTAATTGTAATTAAAGCAAACGAAGAAAAATTCGGATCCAATGAAACGGCAACGAAACCACAGATGATGACTATGATGATGATATTGTGCATTCGGGATATGTTGTTGATAATGGCGATGGTGGTGTAGATGATGATGATGAGGAGGAGGAGGAGGATATTGTACATGCGGGTTATGTGTTGCCGATGATGATGATGATGATGATGATGATGATGCTTCAGGAGAAGCACGGACCCATGGGCCTGATCCAGCTAGACGCCCACACGGACACAGTGGACAATATAGCCGGGGACAAGATCTGCCACTCCACCCCCATCAGACGTGCCGTGGAGGACGGGTGCATCATCCCGGAGAAGACCGTGCAGATTGGCATCCGTGGAGGCGGGTACTCCATGGACTACGTACAATGGGGCATTGACCAGGTCAGCCGATATTCCATACTGAATGTAAATACCCCAGAGCATGTGTATAAAAGAGAGCCTGGCCATGCGCCTAATGCAGTTACATCACACGTGGATGCTGAAGGTGAGATGAGGCTGTACTTCCGGTTACAGAGATGGTAATTTCTGTTTGTAAATTGGTTATAGCCAAAAAGAGCAACCATTCATTGACGATTAACGTTAAACGCAACCAAGAGGCAGGCTAAACGCAACCTTAACTGAAGCTTAGTGCAAACTAGCTGCTTGCACAACTGTTGTTAAGCTGTGCTTCAAATACTGCAATATCGACAAACATCTTTTTCAGGGTTTCCGTGTGGTTCGCGCGGAGGAATGCTGGCACAAGTCCCTCACGCCCCTCATGGAAGAAGTAAGAGCCATGATGGGAGACATACCCGTATATGTGACCTTTGATATCGACGCCCTTGACCCTTCATTTGCTCCGGGAACAGGTAATAATTTGATGACAAGATATGCCATGAAACCAAATAGCCGTGCCGCATCACTATACTCTTATTAATCTGACAATTTATTATGACGTTGGGGCATTCATGAAAACTGATAAAAGAATTCAGAATAGATGTAAGGGGATAAGTTGGTCAAACTCAAGCGTCTCACTGTCCTCATTTGACGTTCATAAAAAAGCGCCTTTTTGTCACTAACGGGCCATCAGTTTGACAAGGAAAGGTTGGATACCCCACTCAACAGAGAGTGTTTGTCATTGAATATATAAAGAAATCCCATTTGAGGAAAGTGCTAAACCTGCGGAGTATAAAATGAGTATAACTATGTATGTCTACGAGAAGAACTATAATATTTAGTGCCATATATAAGACTGATAGTAATTTACAAAGATGATTTTAATCTTCAATTGATATTTAGAAAAGAAGCATTTACATTGAAATCAACATTGACACTAAACACGTCTCTCCTCTACACTCACCCAATCACATAGCTGGATATATGAATGTGCGAGTCACTGTGAAAGTACCAACCCATCTCGCACTATCTGGGTGAAATAAATAAGACTCTGTCCAAATCATATTTATTTGGTATGCCCTTGACATCTTGGCTATAGGTAAGCCAGAGTGTCATCGCAAAACGTGTGACGGACATAAGATCTCATTTAGTATCGCCAATCTATATGACATTACATTTCATGGCTCAAGGTGCGAAATATAATACCCAAGTCTCCGCACGGTTCAAATGACCCTGTGACATTTTCAGTGGGAGGTATCTCGGTTTCGTCAGAATGCTGAGTCAGCGGTTTGAGCATTTTGTCCCGCTCGCTGCTTGCAATAAATGAAGTCCATAACTGAATAAATAACTGTGTGCAATGAATTCAGAATTAGTGCATGTCTATGAGATACTTTGATATGATGTCCGATGCCATTCCCTTTTGTTGGAATATTGCTAAAGGCGACGTAAAATCATACTCACTCACTCACTCACTTTGACTTTAAAATGATTTCGTGTTTTGTCAGGTGAAACATTGACTTGCCTTTGATTGTGTTTGTGACGGGTGCCACTGGTGGAACAGGATTGACTTACCTATTTGCGAACACTTGCGATCATCACTAACTGATAGTGATTCATCAACATATGCTCATATATATAGTCGGAATCGTGCAACTGACTCTGCTTTTAGGAGAGGTTTCTTATAATTATGGAAAGGGTTTTGTGGCTTTTATTAACATCTGAAATAATTTTGAGATTAAACAACCGAAGAAAACAATTATTTAAATTACCTTCATGGATAATTTAATGATGAATTATATCTTAGAAGATTACATTCGCTGAACACATAGTATCATCACGTATCATCATCATCATCATCAGCGTTCGAAATAGAGATCGGTCCGTAGGCCCGAGGCCGACAGATTTGTTCTCGGGCTGTAAGCATGGTAAATGAATCATAACACTGAGATTGCTCCGCTCGTTAATTCTTTCAACACCGCAGGCCGGTGTACCGGCCACACCGTAGCCCCCTTCAAATGCTATATAGTTTCATATCATTTATTTGTTAAATCTATCACTTTTCACAAAGTCAGAAAATACGTATTTCATTGCAATTTATCATATTTTCTCAACAGACTTTAAATAATGAACTATTTTCCACAATGTTATTGAAAATAATAATAATCAGGGACACATACTTCGACAACGTCAAAGAGCAATATAAAGACCTTTCAAGCAAATCGTAAGTAAATTAAATAGAGTAATAATTAAAATCAACAAACATATTTCTCAAACTTGTCAAACTTATATCCAAGTTATAACAATTTCAATCTTTTCACGCGATCGTGTAAAATAAGTCATATCACATACAGCATTTGTCGCCTCGATTTTTAGGCTCAGACACAATGTTTTATGCCAAAATATATGCATGAGATGCATGTGAGAAATCTTTCTCACGGGTCGTAACCTAAACACGATTTAAACACGTTTTTTTAAAAATAGGTCATGTCACTGAGCGGAAAGCCACTGTTATCGGGAAATATGTGATGATAGATCGTACTTAAAATACTTTTAATCAGAATTTTCCGATTACTTTAACAACGAAAATAAAAAAGAAATAAGTTAATGGATTGCTCTATTATTAAATCTTAAAATTGCCGAAAATCGTCATAATTTTCGCCTCCTTCCTGCTTAATCTGGACGTTATGAATGTGTTAGCTTAATTTTGTTCTTAAAAACAAACTTATTTAAGTTACCAATGCATTATTTAAATAATGTGATAAACATAACTTTCATATTTATAAACAGTAGGATTAAACCTTTCAAATTGTGTATGACATGTAGTAGCAAAGATGTGTTACAAGCTGATAATTTCCTTGATAAATGTAGGCTTCGTCTGTAACCACCGAGTCTCTGGGAACTCGGTGTAATAGCAGTGAAAACTTGATGATGATGATGATGATGATCATCATCATCACGTGTCATCATCATGATGGTTGCTGACTTCAATCACATCATAGCAATTAACATAGGCATTGGGGGAGTAACAGTGCACAATTCAAAAGCATCAACGTATTCATTAGTTCAACAATCATTATTATCGTCCTTAGCTGATTTTAACATCGTTACGTCTTCATCGTCATAGCAACCACTACCTGAATCATCACAAGAAATATATGTAACCACTGTACTCACTAGGATCGTCATCGAGGTCATCGATATTATCATCGTCAGGTGTGGCACCATTGCTAAAGAGAACATCATCACCGTCTTAGCTAGTGAGTTCATCACCAACTCATCACTACATCATCCTGAACATACTTATCACTAAACGTTCTCCCCCTGTTAGACACCCAGGTGGTCCACGGCGCCTGAATGTGTATATTGTGCCATCGTACCTCTACGCTGTAGATCTTAGCTCATGTTATATGTAGCAGCCATTGGTGGCGCAGATTAACATAGTGTGGCTACACTCATTTACGTATACGTTAGTGACCCCGGCAATGGCGATACGGATTTACATGACGTGAGCTCCGAACACGATGTTCTTTTCAAAATAATGCAAATCCTGAACAAAGGCTACCCCCTTCTCATCTAGATAGAATCAAGTCTTTGAAAGGCATTTAGAAGAGATACACATAAGGAAGAGAATTTATGGATGTCAACTTCTTTCTTTGAGGAACACAACGTTTCGGAATGTATGCTACTCCGTCATTGGGTGAAGGAGACGATTCGATCTAAGGAAGAGAATTTATGGATGTCAACTTCTTTCTTTGAGGAACACAACGTTTCGGAGTGTATGCTTACTACTTCATTGGGTGAAGGAGACGATTCGATCTAAGGAAGAGAATTTATGGATGTCAACTTCTTTCTTTGAGGAACACAACGTTTCGGAGTGTATGCTTACTACTTCATTGGGTGAAGGAGACGATTCGATCTAAGGAAGAGAATTTATGCATGTCAACTTTTTTAATTAGAGGGAACACAACGTTTCGGAGTATATGCTTACTCCTTCATCAGGTGAAGCAGTAAGTATATACTCCGAAACGTTGTGTTCCTCTTAAAAAAAAAGTTGACATTCATAAATTCTCATCCGTAGATCGAATCGTCTAACTTCCGCACGTGCACATGCAGTGTTGTTACAGAGAGAACCCGTCTGCAAACCGTAGTGGTGTAATTCCATGTAAAACAACATTCACCTCTTCACATGATCCCTTTACAGTTAAATCCTTATTACTGATGTAACTGTTGCAAGTACGCACATGATGCTTACACCACCATCATGCGCACGACTATACCCTGTAATCCATGTACGAGATCAAGGTATTGTTATAGTGCAAACCATTTCAATACTTTTACTTAAATAGTGCAAACCATTTCAATACTTTTTTATCATTTCATTTGTCTAAATACCTAACAGGTTCAATATGTTTCCAAGTGCACCGAAATTCTATGCCCTTTGTTTATTATATTCAGCAAACATTCGACGTATCCCCTCTTATCATAAGCCCCTCCGGGCAGGACCCTTAATCTCCAGCGCTATCTATAAATTTCAATTAACACCTCCTAACGTCGCCGGATCTTACGTATATACATACACGTGGGACAATGACCTTGCCACACGTTACGTAATACCTCGCTCTACAAAACCCGACTGACATGGTCAGTCAGGGAGACAGCCTAGAGAAGAGCCAGAAGGTAAGTGACAGAACGGTTCTCCCACCCGGGAACATTGGCCACTAGGTCCCGGTGTGCGTTCTGTCACGTTATTATCAACATGTACCTTTTCGACTCATTTCAACCATCAACAATAAACATGGCTGCTGTCGTCTTAAACTTCACCCCTGAGTTTTGTCTTCCGCCATCACCCTGAGCTACCATCCGAGGGCCGAAATCAACGCCCTTGGACAGTATCTATGACCAAGCATAATGAAAACAATCAGCTGCAAGCACACATATCTCCTTGTGACATCGGAACACGTCACTGAGAGGGAGAACCCATGTCGTTGTTAACATCTCCACACAAACGTTGAATGAATTGTTAAAGCAAATTAACGACCAATTGTACAGGGTAAACTAATTCGTTAAGAAATTACCAACAACCTCTGGTATTATTCCTACCGTTCAAGGACAGTCCAGGCGCTGGAAACCACGTACAACTAATTTTAAGTTGCTTCATGATCATTAAACGCTGAAGTACCACCTTAGCTCGGTTTAACACAACTTTGAACATGACTCCAGGATGGTAATACTGACCCATGTTTTAGACATCTACTTGTTGAAACCCCACGAGCAATAATATTGTGCTTGCTAGACAAAGGATCGTAACCGATGCTAGTCGGGTATTCGAGCGAGTAGCGAATCCTGGCAGGGAGAAGGACGACAACTCCTGATCACGTGGCTCCCAGCATCCTTGTCCCAAATGAATGCTAAATGAATCATTTATGAATAAATTACTGCTTCTCTTCATTATCTGGTCAAAGTGTCATTAAATTGGTCCTATATTTGGACAGGGGCATTGGAAATCGGTGGTCTAACGACGATACAAGGGTTGGAGGTGGTCAGAGGTTGTCGAGGCCTCAACATCATCGGCGGCGATGTCGTGGAGGTAACGCTTAAACCACAACGCTTTGTTCCACGTAACTTCTTTAATTGGCATTGTTCCACGTATTACAGCAATACAACATATCATCCCTATCTTCTTTAACGTTGAATACACGCTCTCGCTTTTCATGCATATAATGTTCACTGCTATTTTGCCTTTGCCAGTGAAATCTGTTTCGTCGGATAATCGGGACTGGTTATTCTCTCGTCGACGTTTTACGTCTATCATGTTGACTTGGTTACATAGCCTTTCAGGCAGCTTGACCTGCACCGTCACAGGACATAACAGTTGGTTTTGATCAGTCATATATAAGTTCAATTGACGTTCTCTTTTAGCAACAAACCACGGATGCTTAAAGACAGCAATAAGGATTTGGTTATCGTCAGTTTTGTAGTTGCTTCTGATCAATAGCGATCGTGTATCTGAATTAATGATAGTGTGAAACAACTGCATGTGGAAGCTATGTCACTAAAGGCCAGTGTTGTTTAGTTGCATACCGTAACGTCAAGGTTAACATAATCAAGGATTTTATTTTCATTTACATGAAGAATTTTAAAATTCGTTCGGTAGGTCTATAGCTAGTTCATTGTATTTTGATATTCAGTATACTTGAGGCAGAGATATTAGGACTCCTTTAATACGGTATTAACTCCATTAGATTAAACCCTCACAAAGCGAGGTTGAGGTTAGTCTTGTACGTCAGATTTAAGATGTCAAACCTTATTCAAAACTATATAAAACTGAATAAATAGCAAGAGGTCAACTAAAACTACTTCGTCCATCACAAACACCTCGGAATCTCTACCCTTTCTCGATGTTGTCCCTGTGATACCTGTGCTGACAGTTTAAGTGAATCGTGTCTTGTTTCATCTCCAGGTATCACCGCCCTACGACAACAATAATATGACGTCAATGGCAGCAGCACATTACTTGTTTGAGATGCTATGTGTCCTTCCCGGTGTCAAATACTACCCGCTGTGATCTCATAAATGGAACCTCTCAAACGGTTTCTCAGAAGGCCACCAGTCATCAGCTGATAGCCGAACAATTTTCAGATGGAGCTAATGTTGTTGAAATTCTCGTGTACTTTGTTATACCATTGTTTTGTTTCATTCATGACCAACAGATGCATATGCTTATATCAAACCACGCATCTTAACTGCCTTCTCACCATCGTCGTTTTTGTCTTCATACCATAGTTAGGTATCATAAATTCGGCTAAGAACCAAAACGTAAATTGTTTTTGATATAAATGGAAACCCCTTTAAGTATAATAAAATGTGTACATGAATATGTAAAACTGACATACTTGGACACCTCTTTGATAGCTGATCTTATAATTAGTATCAAAAAGACATGTATATGAAAAGCACTCATTCAATAATGGTCAAATATCCAAGTCCCTCCCACAGATGTACTCACCTCAACTAAAATAAAAGAGACAAGTGAAACCGACCCATCTGTTTCATATTTACATGAAAGTCAGCAATAAGGATTGGGATACCGTCAGTGTTGTAATTGCTTCCAATCAATAACTTTCGTGGATCTGAATTAATGATATGTGTGAAACAACTTTATGCACAGCCAGAGTGGTCAGAGTGAAAACAACTCCCCACAAGACTGTATAATAAGAGGGCTGACTTCAATTTCTAATAGTCAAACTTTCCCCAAAAGTCGAGCATATTCCATCAGCTCCAGCCTTTGGTGTCTACATTTCACAACTTTAGAGGTACGATCGAGCATGCTCTCTTTACGAAGATTTCAAAGAGCGTCTTATGACTCTTGCACAAAAGGCCATTTAAAGCCTCAGTAAAGCTTTCAAAAAGTTTTATTGTGGACGTGTGGATGATATTTCCAAATCTGACTATTTAAAAGTTGAAGTTGGAGTTAAGCTGCATTCAAGGATGCAGAGATGATGTCCAGGTCTTTCATAGAATTTTGTAAATGACTAAACGTGGATGACGTGTCATTTCCTTTACCTACTACCTACTTGCTTCTTTGTTCACGTTAAGTGTTTACCATATTAACCATGTCAGGTAACTGAACAAAGAGGCCCCTAGCTTCGCCCTTGACGTATAAGGTTATGCGGGGTATTTTCTCGATTTATCCACGCTTTATCTACCAAAGGGTGTAAGGACGATTCCCTGTTAAGAAATGATGATTTATCTATTGGTGTGAAACATTGCTGAAGTAGGTCATCCCCGACTTTCCAGGGTGAAGGTATGCAAGGTGTACAAGAGGGCGTCGTTAATGAATACCTGTGGAAAATAAGCTAATTGTGATAAACTATGTGAGTCTTTGCACTCTTGAGTGAGTCCGTTACATATAACGACAGGTTGAATCTATTTCACGTCATAACTGTTTATTGTAGGAGGAAAGCCCAGTTAGCTGGATCGTGTATGTTTTAACAGTATAAGGCAACCCCTGAGCACAGGTATTCTGTTGATGTATCGGACACGTGATCAGCAGATCCTGCCAGCTAAGGGACACTACTCTTCGTCAGTAAAAGGAGCATAATTATTTGCCCTTTGATGACAATGTCTTCACGATCGAAATTCACTCATTTCTCATTCAATTAATTTGAACCATAGAACGTCTTCAATTATTTGGATTTTAAAAAGACTATCTGCATTACCTTACGACAGGGGGCACGGATGGCCCAGTCGTCTTAGGCGCCGCGATTCGCTGTGCAGAGTTGCGTCCCCTGGACACGCCAGAAACTTATGATTGTGGGTTCGAATCCCGGTTCACCCCGATTATGTTTCTAGGTTTGTCAGCCCCATACCAGTGCTCGTGGGTTTCATCGAAGTGGCATCACTTCGGTATTTCCGCCCAAATTAAGCTGACACGCCGTGATATAACTGGAATAATGTTAAAAGCGGTGTTAAACCCAACTCACTCACTCACTCACTCACCTAACCACAATAAATCAACAAAATGTCATGTATATAGCTGTATCGTGTAATCTGGTTCTTCGGCAATTCCAGTCATGTAAACTATGAATAGATATCCTTGACACACATGGACGTTAACATCTTGAGTTGCTGAAACACCATAATAAAGATCTGTGGTTGAGACAGGTTATATGTACCTCAGATATTTTATGTCCCTTTTAAATGTATTATAGTAATTTTGTGACTTCACAATGGAAATGGTACACCGTCTGACTAATTGATTTACTGTCCGAGTAAGATTATCATATTTCAAGATTGTACGAAAAATCTTAAGATGTTTACCGACTTTGCCTGATATTTGCCTGATAGCAGTGCAGGCATCTTGAGAGCTCAAATAGACGGTCACAGGTAACCTATACTGTGTTCTGAGCAGGAACAGTGTTTTTCTAGGGTACTGTTATATGACGTTGGGTCGCACTGCCAGTGGAATGTACAATCTCTGTTCAATTTGACTTGGATTTAGTGTCGATGCTACTTGTCATTGTGTCTCTTGAGTCATCTGTCTAGTTGGATTAGTGCATGATATTGCTTTGGTACTAGCTTTTAGTATTTAACCTAAAGACAAAGGCGTTATTCAAAGATTACCAAGCCGACGGACTATGATTAATTTGGATTCACCACAATGTCACGTGTGTCGCTTACAGCCAATCAGGTTGCGTTGTATTTGAGAGAAGTGAAGAGGAACTAAGTACAGAGTTAGACAACATGTGTTTGCAAATTGTTTTTAGCACGACAGATTATTAGTGAGAATACTGGCCGATTCTATTTACCGCAAACTTTACGAATTAGTTTGCAAACTGCTTTCACAATGTTCACACACATAATTTTTATAACGTAAATCGGCAAACAAGATTGGGAACAAGTTATCCAACATAGGACACCCGCTCTTGGTAATGTTACAATGACTGCAATGTCAAGTACAGTCACAGAACCAGTGAAGGTGTGGCAGCACATCACACATTACACTTAACACCTTTCTAAAATGCCGGGCAAACGAAAGTATACACTTGAAAATTGTATTAGACCCCCAAAATCACAAACGTTATGAAACCGTTTCTAGGCTGAAAACAGTCGCCGAAAGACTGCAAACTTGTCCAAATCATAATTATGATACCCGTATCAAAACCATCACCATCAAATAACCATTTCTTGTTTGTTTTATTTTTAGCCACCATCAAACATAGCTGTATACTTTTCTTTTGCCCGGCAGTTTATTTTCAAAATACAGTAAACTACGTTTATAACGAAAACGCTTATAACGAACTGCCCGATATAACGAACTAATTTTAGTCCCGGGCATTTGTTGTACATATGCTGTATATATGCTTATAACGAACTACGGTTATTACGAACTAAAATTAGTGGTCCCCTTGAGTTCGTTATAACCGTAGTTTACTGTACACATGTACGTTCAAAGTTGGAATACTGTAGGTCAAAGTAAGATGTGGGACCACAACGATGATGGTCGTTTCGATGCAATATCGGTTGTGGAGAAACACCAACTAAGCAAAATTTGCTTTAAATCATTTAATTTCGTTTGCCTAAGATAGTGATGCTGGGCATGTTCAGGGTAGACACTGACGGGAAGAGACGACGATTTTTAATTATTGGCCGATACAGAAAAGTTGTTTTTGTCGAAGGAAAACGTGCAGAATTTTATCCAACACCGAAACCTTTGTATAGCTCACTTGGAAGATTTCCTTTCAATATCCGACTCCGGAGATAGATACATATTGCATACTCATATGACTACCACCACCACTACCACTACCACTACCACTACCACCACCACCACTACCACTACTACTACTACTACTACTACTAATAATAATAATAATAATAATACGTCACTCAGTTGCATGAAACAAAAATAAGCGTCTTTTAGCGATTACTTGTATTAAGACACACTGTTTTTCTTACTTCGACATTTTACACATGATATCTTTTCATAGGATGTACTTACAAATGCGTCTCTAGGAGCTCTTCAAAGTCAGCCATACTTTTTGCTGCCATCATGGCCTGGGGGAGATCGTGAGTGAGTGAGTGAGCTAGCTGTTTGCTAGAAGAAGCTCCTGACCATGGAAATGAAGATGTTACAAGCTGGCCCTCCTTATCCCCAATACCATAGGTTTACATACTACTGGCATTCGTCAGTGTTTCTCATTTCTCAACAGAATGTTTTCAGTACCCAGGATTTTCACATCCTTGTGCTACTGGGATATGTTCTTGTCACGAAATCTTGAAAATGCCCTGTTTCTCCTTTGATGATGTTTGACAAACTGTTCACAAGTACTTGTGGGTGTTGGAATGAATCCGTTAATTGCGACATACGGTGTCTACATGTTATGGTCTACATTTACATACTCCGAAAACGTTGTGACATTGTGGACTGACTGACTGACAAGATGTGTGTTAAATGTAAAAATATACAATTCTATATATTGTACACAAAAAACTTTGACACGTCCTTTCAAGGCGTCTTCGTTTCTGTGATTGATATATTTGAATGAAATGACAAATGATTGGCTCAGTCAAAGATAGCAAAAAAAACCTTGAAAACATTTGTGAAATGGAAATATTTGAGCGGATCATCGAACATGGAACATTGAATTTTGATTTCGAGGTTTTTCTGTTGAACTGAATAAACATACCAATGACAATGACCATCTCACCACAGCCCAATATCTCATTCAACATGAGTTCAATGTAAACTATATCTTCTAATTGTTCTCTGGATGTGCAGAGTTGCGTCCCTTGGGCACGTCAGAAACATATGCTCGTGGTTTCGAATACCGGTTCGTCCTGATGTAACTAGGTTTATCAGCACCATACCCGTGCTCGTGGTGGGTTTCACCAAATGGTATTCGTCTGAAACATGCATCAGTTTAGTCTTTTCCTCCAAACTAAGCTGAAACGCCGTGATAAAACTGAAATGCTGTTTACAGCGACGTTAAACCCAGCTTACTCACTCTAATTGACGTTATGACGTTTGCCCGACACAGAACGATAGGACAAACAATACAGCTATCAAGGCTGCTTCACTAACGACTTGATCTCGGGTTCAAGAAATTAATTAATTGACGTGTTGTTAACCTTACGGTGACAGACAGAGTGGTCACCTTCACATTGTTGGAACCACATACGTCATGGTTTACATTCTATCTTGGCACAGGAATGTAGAGGAGTTTCAAGTGAGTACGCTGATTATATCTGAGCCGTTATTGACGGAGGACAATGTCAACACAAGGCTTACAGAACAAAGAACGCGATGGCGGCCATTAACTTTTATAGCTGTTTATGTGGGGCTGGAATGAATTTGATGAAACACGATGCAACTTCAAACATAAGTTCGTAGCTGCTATACATCTTAATGACATACTAGTGGGCATTTGTGTATGTAGGTGAGTTTAGTCTCTCTTTATAGCCAAACGAATAATATACTAACGTTGCGTACACTGAAATGTCTGTAAAGGTTGTGACTTAAAAGCTAACCCCTCTCCT